GGACACAGAAACAAACCCACATAACTACAGTTTTCTTATATTAGACAAAGGCTCCAAAATATACATTGGAGAAAAGATAGTCTCTTCAACAAATGGTGCTGGGAAAACTGGAAATCCATATGCAACAAAATAAAATTAAACCCCTATCTCTCACCATGCACACAACTCTACTCAAAGTGGATCAAGAAACTAGGAATTAAACCAGAGACCCTGCACCTATTAGGAGAAAAAGTAGGTCCAAATATCCATCCTGTCCAATTAGGGCCTGACTTCCTTAATAAGAGTCCTATAGCACAAGAATTAAAATCAAGAATCAATAAATGGAATGGATTCAAACTGAAAAGTTTCTTAGCAAAAGAAACAATTAGCAAGGTGGATAGAGAGCCTACAGAATGTGAGCAAATTTTTACTACATGCATATCAGATAGAGCACTAGCCTCTAGGGTATATAAAGAACACCAAATATTAACACCAAAGAAACCAAATAACCCAGTCAATAAATGGGCCAAGGTGCTGAGCCCCTCCCCTGACTCATGCAATGATAAGGCCCTACTGAGGTGGATGGTGCAAGGCGTCCATCCTCTGGAGGAGTGCAGTATGTTTCTGGAAATGGGCTGGTTTGTTTTTGTATTCTTTTAATAAGTATAGTTGTGACTTCTCATATGACCATTAAGTATGAAGGAAAAAACATGACTTTCCCAATTAATGCAACTACTTCTAAAGAATAAATCTGATTGCTCTAAATGCAATGATTCATCAGTGGAACATAAATTGTTAATGTTTAATGAGAAACACCCTGTAGGAAAAACAGTCGAGGAAGTTTTTGAGAAATTAAATTAAAATCTAGAGAAGAAAAATTAATATTGAGAAGACAGATTAGTGCTTGGTACTGAGCAACTTTTTCTTGTTCCTGTGCACAATGGTTTGGTGCTCTTACTCTTGTTTTATTAAAATTAGTAGCCTCTCTTTTCAAGTTAACCACTTGCCATAACCGTGGTGCCGATTCTAGTCAGTAAGTCAAGAAAGAATAGTCAAGGTATAGGCCAATAGTCTGGGACATTTCTAACTATTATTAAAAGCTAACTAAGTGGAAACAGCTTAAAGCAAAACTCAAACTAAAAATAAAAATGCTTGCTTATGCATAAGCCAAAAGATATTCTTCTTATCTAATTGTAGCTACGTAATATTTTGTTTCTTTGAATAATGATTCCTGTTTTGTAACCACAAAATATTGTGAGCCTGCCAAAATGAAAAGTATATATGATCAACTTCACAAGTAAAGATTCGGATTCAGCACCTTCACTTTTGTGTCTGTGTTGTTTCTCCACTGCCTTTCGCTGACTCCTCACCATCCATTCATCTCCTGAGACCCCCTGCCAGAGCTGGACTCCGACACCAAGGAACTGAACAGACACTTTGCTGAAGATGACATACAATCAATAAACAAATATATGAAAAAGGTTCAATGTTACTAGCAACTAGAGAAATGCAAATCAAAACTACTGTAAGATTTCATCTCACTCCAGTCAGAATGGCAGCTATTAAGAATACAAACAACAAAGCTGGGCACAATGGCTCATGCCTGTAATCCTGGAGACTCCAGAGGCTGAGGAAGGAGGATTGAGAGTTCAAAGCCAGCCTCAGCAAAAGTGAGGCGCTAATAAGCAACTCAGTGAGACCCTGTCTCTAAATAAAATACAAAATAGGACTGGGCATGTGGCTCAGTGGTCGAGTGCCCCTGATTTCGATCCCTGATACCAAAAAATAAATACATAAAAATTAAAAAAAAACATAATCAACAATAAGTGTTGGTAAGGATGTGGGGGAAAATGCACACTCATACACTGCTGGTGGGACTGCAAATTGGTGCAGCCTATATGGAATGCAGTATGGAGAATCCTTGGAAAAATGAGAATTGAACCACGATTTGACCCAACTATTGCACTCCTTGGTATATATCCAAAGGACTTAAAAACAGCATACTACAGGGACACGGCCACCTCATTTTTTTTAGTAGCACAATTCACAAAAGCTAAACTGTGGAACCAACTAGATGCCCTTCAGCAGATGAATGATAAAGAAAATGTGAAAAAATACACACACACACACACACACACACACACACACACACACACACATACAATGGAGTATTATTCAGCATTAAAAGAGAGTAAAATCATGGCATTTGCAGGGAAATGGATAGAGATGGAGAATATACTGCTAGGTGAAGTTAACCAATCCCCCCAAAAAACAAATGCTGAATGTTTTCTCTGATTTAAGGATACTGATTCATAATGAGGCTGGGGGACATTGGAGGATTAGATGAATTCTAGATAGGGCAAAGGGAAGGGGAATGGGGGTAGGAAAGATGGTGGAATGAGATGGACATCATTACTCCAAGTACATGTATGAAGACATGATTGGTGTGACTCTACTTTTTGTAGAACCAGAGATATGAAAAATTGTGCTCTATATGTATAATATGAATTGTAATGCATTCTGCTGTTATATATAACAAATTAAAATTTTAAAATAAATTAAAAATGATGGGAGTTAACAGTGATGAGAAGTTTACCAAAATAATGAGAGTCTTTAAAAATGAGAAAGCTTTAAACAAGAAGCATTATAATTTTTATCAGGCCACATATTAAGAAGTTTAGAAACCTGAGTTACAACAACAGATGTTGCTTTAAAGGCTGGAATTATTGACAAAGGAAATAGTGGCTGCAAAAGGCCAATAACCTGAATTATTAGTACCACATGGATTATAAAATCTTATTTTCCTTGATTTTATTGTATAAAATATTAAGGAAGGAAAATAAAGGGTTAATGCCCCAAAATTAAATTAAATCCTAGAAATTAATGAGTTTGAAACAAAAGCACAAACATTTTATTTAATCAAGGGCAGTTAAAAATTACTAATTTGCCTTGAACTCTTCTGGTTTGTTTAAAAGAGTTTCATGATCATCTTTGGAAAACTTTATAGTGGTTAACTAAGGAATAAATGTAGAATTTTTTCTTTCCAATTAAAGTTAATAAACAAAACAAAAAACATTCCAGAAACCCCAAACAAAAACAAGCCTCTATCAGAAAAAAAGAGAGAAGTCAAGCCAGTAAGCAAATATTTAAAAAGAACAAAATTAAATGCATATCAAAACATAACCAAATATTAGCTGGATCAAAAAATGTATATGAGTTATATACTCCAATGAATGGACGTTTGTTCTGTGCTACTTGTAATTTCTCCCTCTAAAATAAAAATATTTGGAAATATTGGCAAATAAAAAGTCAAGAGAGTAATCTTAGTAGTAGATAAAGCAGAATTTAAGGCAACAGCATTAAATGCTATGAAACGGGTCATTTTGTTCAAAAGATGTTAAAATCAGCAGTAAAGATAAAAATACTTTGAACCCCTCATATACACAATAATATAGTGTAACTGTTAGATAAGGTGAAAATGTTTTATATTCAGATTGTTTAGAAAAATTTAATGTGAGATTTTTAACTACTATGACAGAGTAATTGGACATAAATTATTAAGTATGTGATTAATTTCAACATCATTAGAAATAAATGAAAGAAAATTAAAATGTGATACTTTTTCTGTCAATAAAGCAAAAGATTTTTGAAAATATAATAACCAATATTAACAAGTATGTGTTGGGATGAACCCTTTCATGTGGGAATAGATACAATTTATGATAAAATTAGGTCTGTCAGATTTAAGAGCCTCAGTATTAGCCTTAGTATTTTCACCTCTTTGAGACAAACTGGGAAAAAAAGAGGATTTATGCTCATCAATTGCAGAATTATTTGAATTTTTAAAAAGTAAATAAAGTATTTATTAACAGAATAATGGTTAGATAAATTATTTTGTCACATATTAAAATGGCATATTTGAGAATATATAATTTTTTGAAGAATGCTTAAGAAGACAGGAAAAGGAAAAATATTTACTTTTACAAAATAAACATGATTAAACATGATTCATTAAATTGAACAGTCCAATTTGTGGTAAAAATAAAATTCATAATTATGTCAAAATGGATTTTACTTTCATATATAACCAAAAAGAATGAATAAAAATAAATGTGGTTAAAAATAAACCTGTGGTATATATACACAATGGAATATTACCCAGCTTTACAGAAGTACGAAATCATGGCATTTTCAGGTAAATGGATGGAATAGTGGAGAATATTATGCTAAGTGAAATTAGCCAATCCCCAAAAAGCAAAGGCCAAATATTTTTCTCTGATATTTGAATACCAATTCATAATGGGGGTGAATAGAGTTATTTTGGACTAGACAGAGGGGAGTGAAGGGAAGGGAGGGGGCATGATGGTAGAAATTATACTACAATGAATTGGACATTATTACCCTATGTGCATATATGATTACATGACCTGTGTAAACTCTACATCATGAACAACCAGCCGAATGAGAAGTTATACTCAATTTATGTATAATGTGTCAAAATGCATTCTGTTGTCATGTATAGCTAATTAGAGCAAATTAAAACAAACCATCAAAAATAATGACTGCATCCTTATAAGTAGTAACTATTCCTGGTAGCCACTGGAATTATTGATACTTCAAATGCTCCATGGCTCTGGCATATTGAATGCTATATAGCAGTTTTGCTGAAAAAAGGTAGAATTAACAGAACAGGGCTTACCTGAGCTTCTAAGGCTTGATTAAGAAAACTTGAGAACCTGCACCATTCAATGGATGCAGGGCATGTCAATCTTCACTTTTCAGCAAGTGAGCTTTGGGTGCTCCAGAAGAAGTGACCCTTTCTTGACCCCTCCATGCTCCACCCCCATGACCAGCATATCAGAAACTTTCCCGCCTTGTCTCAGGGCGCAGCTGCAGTGGGTCGCTTCCCCAGGCTAGTTCTTACACTTCCTGTCAGTCACAGGACCTGCACAGGCGCAGTCTCAGGGCCTCTCTGGCACCACCCCCACCTCCCAGCATGCTCTGTAGCTGAAATATTCCCAGCCCTTCACAACACACCTCTGGGTGGACGCCATCTTCACTGACATCCTGGTAGCAGCCAGGTTGCCACTCCCTGTTGAAGTCTTTGCTGACCTGTCTCTCAGGCCATGTCTGACACCAACAAACAAGACCTGGTCCCAAGTGGCCAGAGTGAAGCTGATGAAGAGGCAGGCATGGACCCTGGGTCCCTAGGCAGTCCCTTGGTGCCTGTGGAATGGTTGGCTGCAGTGGCGGAAGTTGCAGCCCTTTTAGCTTTCCAGGTGATTGTGAAAGCTTTTGAGGAGGAGTGTGAGGAGAAAGTGGTCTGGCCTGCCACCGCAGAGAACAAGAACATACAGCTTCTAGAAGAGGAGGAGGAGGAGGAGGAGGAGTTGATGGCAGAACACTACCAGGAACTGGAGGATGATGATGGTGGTGAGGAAGAGGAAGGAGATGATGAGGAAGACGATGGCGGTGAGGAGAACGAAGAGGGTGCAGCAGCTGCTGGTGTCTGTGAGTTTCCTGTGGTGTTTCAGTCCCAGTTCTCCTTCCCTTCTCCACAGTAGCTTCTATAATGACCTCATCCTGGTCTGGCCCCACACGGGCCTCGTGGTGACCAGGTGCCACCTCGTGGGACCCCAGGGAGCTGGTAGAGGAGCCCGTGGGTTGGGAGTGGGGAGGACCTGGCAGTCGGAGCCGAGGCCTGTGGAGAGCAATAGCTGGCAAAGGGATCCCGGTCCTGGGTGGCAGTGGACCCTGCAGACAGGACAGCGTCCCAGAGGACAAGGTCTAAGAGGGCGGTGTCTGGCCTATGGCTCGGATGGCTACGGTTGAGTCTAGGGAGGCGGGGGCCTGAGCACCCGAGGGGGCCAAGGTTGCTGAGTAGCAGCAAAGTCCTCCGGCCCTTGCAGCCTCTGTTGGCTTGGCTGGCTCACTCACAGGCCGTGCTCAGATCTTGCCTGCCTGGGTAAGCAGTGGGTCGATATTCTCATTAAAAAAAGAAAGAAAGAAAGAAAAGAAAAAGAAACCCAATCCGAGAAAGACTTTCTGGTTTTGAGAATCTCAACTGTGCTGCCTTCTACCAACCTCAGTTTGATAAAAGATCTGAGACAATGCAGTGTATGAGCCTGCAAACTTGAACGTCAGTGATTAGTAGATATATCAGGAAAGACCTTTGAAAGGAATGGAAAGCGCCTGAAGGCAAAGGAGAAACAAGTGGACAAGTGGCATTCCTCGCTTGTGGTTGATAGCTTTAAAAAAATATCAGGTTTCTTGGTGGGATGATTCAAAAATATTTTAAAAAGTGAACCAATATTAGAGAACTTCACAGGTGTAAGCATTCTCTTTTCAGGGTTTGAGGAACCAGTGAGCTTCACCATAGAATTTGTTTTAAGTCTAATGAACCTTTTTCAAGAAAGTTCTGACAAAAAGCATAATGTGATCAGATGTAGGTGATTCTTTTCCTTCTCCCAGGTGTCTGAAATAATCAGCAGCACTGGGTGTGGAATGGAAAAGGGTAGGAGGAATATCCCCTTGAGAACTCTGAAGCAGAAGAAATGTGAGGGTCATGGAAGTATTATATTAGCCAGAAGAAATTAACCCAGATATTTCTTTCCTTTCTATATTTCTTTTATCCAGATTTTTCTGAGGGTAGAATACTGACTGCTGAAACCATGTATAAGCTGGGATATTATTTCCATGACATTGTGGTCCCTAAGTCTCTATCATTGCTGGCTGATGTAGCAACTGCATATAGCTATGAAATTTCTGATGAAGAGTCTGAAGAATATGGAGTTGAGGAAGACCAAGAGGAAGTGGATGAAAATGAAGAACTCGAAGAAGGACCCAAGAAGAATCTGGACTAAGGAGGGGGCAACTTCTCTTAAAAATCCAGGTATTGGTTTATAGTCTTTAGTATTAACTAACCATTCCTGATATTCATCTGTTAGTTCTGATTTTATGTTTTACAATTTTCACTGTATGATAAATCAAACATTGCTACCATTTAGTTTAAAGTTTTCATGTTAATAATGTGCTTATAAATTATATTAACAGAAGGAAATATGTTCTGGAATGTAATTCATTCCCAGATACACACTCTTTATCCTATACCTATAAATACAGATATGAAAGTTATCAGACCTTGTAATTGAGAGTAGTGGAGGAATGTGACCAGACAAAGCAGCTAACATGCTGGGCCATGTACTATCTGGCTTTTTATCGCTTGGCCATAGAAAGGTAGTGTCTTATACCAGTGTTACCTATGAGAGGGTTGATTGTTGACAAAGTGAAAAAAATGTTAAGGATGGTAAGACAGACCACATTTTATGACTGATACACGAATACCATTTCAGTTTAGTTTTCAGAAAATAAAGAGGAAGTGTTTGGTTTCTGCTGAGACAATAAATAATACATACCATTCACTCAGATTTTGACTCATATTTAGAAAGTATGTGTTAATGGCATGCAAATGTTAATTATCTTTGGTTCATTTTACAGTTGGAAAGCATAGAAAGAAATGGATGGAGAAAGACACAACGAATATGGTCTTCATGAATTTTCTACTTTTCATTCATCTAGAACACTGATTTTTCCCCAAACTTTATCACATAAAAAAAGACATTAACTGATATTTGTCTTTATGCTGATATTTTGATTAAATATTTGACTGCATTTGTTCTGTTAAAAATAAAAGCTTGTTTGAAATGCATATGCTGCACATTATTTATGCAAATAACTGATTCAAATCTAACTTTTATATCTTTTTTCTGTTTTGACCCACCTTGTTGTCACTAAAATGAATTTATTTCTATTCTGCAGCAAGCCTGTTTTAAATTATTTTATTATAACCAAAAACAGTCTAATATTTAAAGTTATAAACAATTTGTGTAATGAAAGAGATGAAGGTCTAGCCCCTGCTTCATTTTCTTGGGTGGGGGGGGGAAATGCATGTCCTAACTTGCCAGGAGACCAAATGTACCAATGGGCTGCTGTTTACCAGAAGCATCAACAGCAGTTGGAAGCTAATTAGAAATGCTAATTCTTGAGCTACACTGAAGACCTACTGAATCAGGTTCTTAAAGCAGACTAGCAATCAGCATTTTCAAGTCCTCAAAGTATCCCTAATCATATGAAACTTGAGAAACAGTGGTTTAATGCAATGACAGAAAAAAAACCCACTAAATTTCCCCCACAGTAGTACAAGCCTTAATTCACTGACTTGGTATATGCCGTAGTTTTTATCTTGAATGTACCCAAAGGTCCATGTGTTGAAGGTTAGTTCCCTAGCTCATGGCACTCTTGGGAATTGATGGAGCCTTTAGGAGATAGGATCTGGTCACAGGTTTGATGTCATGCCTATAAAGGGGATATTGACACCCCAACTTCTTCCTGGTTTTCTCTTTGTCTCCTAGATGTCATAAGGTGAGAAGTTAACTACCTACATGTTCCTGCCACAATTTACTGCCTCGTCACAGGCCCAAAAGCAGTGGGCCTAGCAATCAGTACTATAAGCCTCTAAAGTAGGGGCCAACATAAACCTTTTCTCCTTAAAAGATGGCTATCTCAGGTATTTTGTCACATTAGTGGGAAACTAATTAACAGTCTGGTGACAAGTAAACTGAACAGGACAGAAAAGTCTAGACTGTGCAAGAGACTTGAAATTTACGGTCCTGATACACAAAGTCGTTTGGGGGGAATGTGTTCACTTCCTGGGCAGACAACAAATTATCACAAATTAGGTGACTTAAAACAACATATAATTCTCACAGTTCTGGAAGCTATATAGTCTGAAATAAGCATGTTGACAGAGTTGGTTTCTTCTGGCAGCTGTGAGAATCTGTTCCATGCCTCTTTCCTAAATTCTGGAACCTGTCATCAATTTTCAGCATCCCCTAGATTCCAAGTGCATGACTACAATCTCTTTCCATCTTCACCTAGTGTTATCCCTTTTTTCTCTTTTTTATTAGGAGTCATACAGGGTTAAGAGCATTCTGTAATCCAGTATGTCTCCATTGTAATGCGATTACATGTACAAACACTCTATTTCCAAATAATGTCACAATTATAGTTTCTGGGGGTTAAGACTGCAACATATTTCTGTGGGAGACACAATTTAACTCATAAGGGGAAAAGATGGGGTGGCAGTTAAATATTTATAGGAAGGAAAAAACTAGTGATATAAACATTTTTGAGAACATGTAGCTGAATTAAAATAAAAAACAACTTGATTATGAATCCATATATTTGTAGTGAAAAGCATTTATAGTTGATGTATATATATGGGTCATACAGAAAGACATTTATGAGGAAGATAAATACCTTAGGACAGTAGTTAAATATTGTGGAAAGAAATGGAGAACTTAACTGGAATACAAGGCTTCAACTCTTTGTAATCTTGTGTTCTTAAGTTGGGTGGTGGTTGTATGGATGTAGTATACCCTATGAACTTGTGTAGGTCTGAATATTTCATAAAATAAAAGGAGGAAATGGGCCTAATATTTGGAACCTGTTTAAGGAAAATAAAATGATATAGTTGACCAGAGTGGAGGATCAGAGAAGGAGTGGGCCAGGTGTTTAAAGGTAGAAGGCTTGCTTTCTACATTTAGTTAAGGCTGCCTAGATACCTAATAATTAGTACCAATACAATTTTCTGTGTTCTTGGGTACTGGGCATCTCATATCCTAGTGTATATTAACATTATTTTTATTTATGTTTGTCTATCTTCCAACAACCTATAGGGTGAATTAATAATTTTATAGATGGCTATCCTTAAACAGCCACACTGTATTTTCTTTTTGAAAAAAAAAAAGATTTTTTTAGTTACATGTGGGCAAAATATTTTATATATTTATTTTTATGTGGTGCTGAGGATCAAACCCAGTGCCTCATGTATGCTAGGCGAGTGCTGTACAACTGAGCCACAACCCCAGCCCCACACTGTATTTTCTATGCGGTAGCTGCTTGATAAAAGTGTGTTGAAGCAAAGTTAAAGTAATGCATCCCTAATCCACTTTTATCACTAGTGTTGGTATTTAATAAAATGTTATCAGGTAGCAAAACAGAAGTGCTCCCAGAACAACAACAACAAAAAAAGTCACCATACCTTTCATCACCATTGTTTAAAATAAAAGGGCAGTCCCCCCTCAAGTCAGAATTTATCCATGCAGTGTCATCTGAAGGGACTTGAATTGGTTCTATTTGTATATCCCTTCTTTCTTTATCTCTCTGATTTAATATGCACACATATATATGTATATATGCACACACACACATATATTTAAAATTTTCTCTATTAGAGGCCCTATGTGGGTCCAAGAACCTTATGGGGTAGTAAGGTTTGAATATGACTCTTATAAAATTCATAGGTGTTGCCAGTGTGACGGCAATAAGAGGTGAGCCTTTTAATAGGTGATTAGGCTAAGAATATTCTTCCCTCATGACTGAGGAGTTTGATGGGGGGCGTCAGTTCTCTCTTCCCCTTCTGTCTTCTATCATGTAAAGAAGATCCAGAAAGAAAGCACCCACTAGATGCCTTTCCATGATCTTAATTTCCTAGTACCTAAAACTATAAGGAAATAAGTTTGTGTTCTGAAAGAATTACCCATTCTCAGTTATTCTGTTAGAGCAGCACAAAATGGACTGACATTGAGTTACACTCCATTAGACAAAAAGGACATATGTAATGTTCTTTAAAATAAGTCCATGTGTTTCTGCTGAGACTTCTTAGGGACAAAACTATTAAACTTGTTAGTATGCCTATTGTCAATTCACCTAAAGTTATCTGAGATACTACCCCAGATATTTTAAGGCCCAAACAAAGGATTTTATAATCACATCATTAGCTTCATCTTTACACCATGTTTTCTTATAAGGGTTCTGAATATGATCTTTTCAATAGATGCCCTTTCATAACTCTAGTTCCTTTGCCATCTGGAGACACTAGGGATTTTCAAAGTAGCAAGTTCTGACTCCTTTTTATATAAGCTAAAGTTTGTCTATCAGTTTAACATTATTTTTTAGTATTTTACTATAAAGAGAAAAAAATCCAAGCATCATCATCCACATCCTGTAAGTTCTTTATTATATTACCTATTTCATAAGTACATTTTTTACCCTATATATCACTGTACAAAATAGAAAGGTATCCCTCTCCTCCAGTTTCCAACATTTTCCTCAATTCTACTTTAGCTTTCATAGGTAACTTTCACATAAATCACCAGGTTTCTGCTAATATTCTGCTCTAAGCATCTTTGACTTTCATTAATGCTCTCTCAAACTTCTTCCAACTTCAGCCCTCTGCCCAGTTTCAAAGTTATTCCACATTTTACATTTTTGTTAGTGCAGCACTCTACTCTTGGTGCCAAATGTCTATTTTAATTTTAATTGTTTACTTGCATAACAAATAAGCCCCCAAATGGAGTGGCTAAAAACTATAATTAATATCTCACACTATCAATTGGTCAGGAATTCAAGGTACCTTAGCTAGGTGGTGCCATCTTCAGATATTTCTTGATGTTGTAGTCAAAATGTTAATGTAGTCTCATGGCCTGGGTGCTAGTTCATTTGTATTGCTATTAAAAATACATGAGACTCAGTAACACACTTATTTCTAATTTTTCTGTAGGCCAATAAGACCACAATCAGGTTTGTGATAAAGTCCTGTTCCTAATACATATTGCCATCCATGCTTATTTGAAAGGCAGAAAAATGAAAAAGAAAAAAAAAAGGTCTAACCCAGGTACCTCTAACCCTGTCAGAAGGAACTAATACATTCATAACTCTAGAGCCCTTACTATTTAATCATTTTTAAAAAGACTTTACCCCTTAATACTACCACTATAAGGTCCTTGCTTAGCATCTGGATGCCCATCTTAAGTGACAGCTGCCATTTTAAGAAAAATTTTGCTTTCCTGTCCAAGGGCATTTCTGAAAAAAACTTGTCACTCCCTCATACCAACCCCACCCTTAACCAACTGCATTAGGACCCGCCTGGCTCTAATCCCTGAGCCTGCCCCAGAAAAGTCCTGAAACCCAAGCCTGTATTGCCTCTCTCCATCTATGAAGAGATGGCCTTTATTTGTCAGCTCTAACAACAACAACAACAAAAACCTCTCATGTGTATCTCTGCCTGGTCTCCACCTTTCATTTCTCACATGCCCACCTCCTAGTTCCACACTTTCTTTCATTGGTGCCAAAACCCAGGATTGGTTTCCCCAGTGTGCCAAGTTTAGGAGCAAACTAGAAATTATGCTGATGAGGTACATCAGACCTTCCCTGACCATCCAATTGGCACTCCCTTCTTCGAGGGTCACTGAGCATCACAGGGCCCTGTTCTGGATTCCATCATGGGACTAGGTCCTACATTCTGCTGAATGCCCTCTCTGCTCCCACCACCAGACATTTCAGGTAAGACCCCTATCTCTGGTCTACCTAAATGACCTATGGGTCCCGGGAAGTGACCATTAATTGTCCGGCACTCCCAGGGTTACTGTGTGGTTGGGGACACCCCCAGCCACAGCTTTCATAGCTATGGCTGATCCTTACTCTCAACTGGGTCTATAGGTGGTCTTTTATTTGGGTCCTGGGTTTTGAGAAAAAAACACCGAGAGTGATTGGGAGTTGTTCCTGCTGAGACTACCTCTTGGCCTTGCCTTAATCTCCATGGCTTCTGCCCCTATATAGTCACAGCTGGGTGCCCAAGTGCCTCTA